AAGTCCCTAGTGACCCATGCCTTACTGTTTGCCCTCCACAGCACACACAAATTAGCCTTGAGGACATTGTTTTTCCTGAACACTCTGGGAGTTTCAGAGTGATACACCAATAAAGGCTTCACTTTGCAATCACCACTAGCATTGGCACACATAAACAGAGTAAGCCTGTCTTTCATAGGCTTATGTCCTGGGAGTGCCTTTTCCTCCTGAGTAATGTAGGTCCTGCTTGGCATTTTCTTCCAAAACAGGCCTGTTTCGTCGCAATTAAACACTCGTTCAGGTTTCAAGTCTTCACTGTCTATGTAATCCTTGAATTCCTTCACATATTTTTCAGCTGCTTTTTGGTCCGAACTGGCAGCCTCACCATGCCTAATCACACTATGTATGCCACTACGATTCTTAAATCTTTCAAACCAACCTTTGCTGGCTTTAAATTCACTCACATCAGCACTAGTTGCAGGCAATTTCTTTACCAAATCGTCATGCAACTGCCTAGCCTTTTCACAAATGATCGCTTGAGAGATGCTATCTCCTGCTATCTGTTTTTCATTTATCCACACCAATAACAGTCTCTCAACATTTTCTAACACTTGCGGTCGCTGTTTCGTAATCATAGTTGCACCTTTTGCAAGAACAGCTTCCTTGATTGCCGTTTTCCTGGTCACTATAGTAGAAATGGTTGATTGGGGTTTACTATACAACCTGACCAGCTCCGACACACGCACTCCACTTTCATACTTTGCAATTATCTCTTTCTTCATTTCAATAGTCATTAGCACCTTTTTTCTCGAAGGGTTGGCACTAGAAGCTTTCTTGGGGCCCATGGTGACTTATTTTGCAGAAACAAGCACCAAAAACAGTGATAATGTGGAATGTACCAAATGTATCCTTAGATGCGCGCACACTGGCTGGCTTGTAAACACTGGCACACACGGGGCAGTTCAGGCCACACATGGACACATCTCATACGAATCACATCGAAATCCGGGTTTTCGATCGGATACCGAGGCAAAAATTTTGCGATATAATGCATCGAATACCGGATTTATTGAATACCGATGCCATCGAATACCGGGGGTCCACTGTATTATGTATGTGTTCTGTTGCATTTCTCCAGGAAAAGTTGGTGTGAATGTTTTGTATGATGAGTAGGTTATCCCTTTCAGGGTTGAGAGGCCCTCTCCTAAACTTGTTCTCAGGGTCAAAAATTTTTCAAAAAAATTAAAAATGATTGTTTAATGTGAAGTGATAGAGAATCTTTTCCCGATCATAATGACACCAAAAGTATGAAATTTGATGGAAAACTTACGGAATTATGCTCTGGTAAAGTTAGTGGTCTCGACAATGTTTACACATCGACGATTTTGCCCACTTTGAGCCCTATTTTCAGTCAATTTCATTGTACCAGTCGACAAAAATCATAACTATTTTGCTAGAACTCCATTTGTTGTATCGAATGAGTACAAGAAACCACCCATTTACTGATTTCAACTATTCAATAAAGTGGTCAGAAATTGGCAATTTTTGCCAATTTCACACAAATTTCAAGAGATGCCAATTTCCAAATAGGGTCCAGAATAAACAAGGCAGACATTCCTGGCACTAAAATAACATTTTCTCTGTTCATTAGTCACGTCCCCAGGCCCCTATTACATTTCTTTTGCTTTCCACTTTGAATTTTTATTCTCACAAATAATAGAAGATTTGCTGTTATGCAGACTAATACATTAGTATAGAAATGGTATAAATAATATAAGCGCACTTGTGAAAGAATATTAGACTCACCAGTTGACGTGTACTGGACGCATGGCATGATTTATTTACTTTTGAACATTGGCAAAAATCAAACATTTCTGCTACTTTGAGCTCAATTTCAAGGTACTTTACATTGTGAAACCAATCAAAATCATTACAATTTCTGTAATATGTCTTCTGTTCTATAAAATGAGACCAGGAAAATGAGAATACAACCATAAATACCATATGAAAATACACTGCAGTTACTGTTTTAAATCAAAAACACGGGCGGAGTTTTTTTTTCTCATGCACTGTGTGCTTCAGGATTTTTTTTATACTGTGCACACTGACCACATAGACCCATTCTTTCATATGTAGGCCTACCAGCTTTCTCTTGCTAGATTTGAAGGCACTAGAATTTATGCGTACTAGTACGGCACCAACCCTGGCATGCAAGCTGTACTAGTATGACACCGACCCTGAAAGGGTTAAGACTTGGATAGTGGGATGTGTGTGTTGTCTGTAACCTGATTGGGTGAGTATTCTAATAAATGATTTCTGCTGGGTAACACTGGGTTGTAGGTGATTTTTCTCTTGTGGATCCCCAAGCACAGATACCATAAGTAAGATAGGGATAGATTAATGAGTAGTATGGAGTAAGTGCAGTGGACCCCCGCCTTACGAACGCATTGCGTTACGTTAAATCTGCCATACGAAACATTTGAACGCAAAAACTTTGCCTTGCCTCACGATAAAAAACTCGCCTTACGTGATTCGTCCAGGACGCGTCCCATGTGTGGCCTCAGCACCAGTGTTGACAAGCCAGGCAGTGTGGTCGCATCTACGCATACATTCGGTACATTTCACATTATCCCAGTGTTTTTAGTGCTTGTAACTGCAAAATAAGTCACCATGGACCCCAAGAAAGCTTCTAGTGCCATCCCTGTGGTAAAAAGGGTGAGAATTAGTATGGAATTGAAAAAAGGAAATGTGTGCAAAGCAGGTTGAACTGCAAACCTTTATGGATGAGAATCACCCTGACAAAGCTACAGCAAGCCGTGTTGGCAACCTGTACAATGACAATGTTATGGCCCATTTTAGGAAAGTCTTAAAGGAACGGGAGGTACAGAGCTCTATGGACAGATTTGTTGTGTGACAGAGGTCCAGTGACTCTCAAGCTGGTCCTAGTGGCATTAAAAGAAGAAGGGAAGTAACCCCGGAAAAGGACTTGCTACCTCAAGTCCTAATGGAAGGGGATTCCCCTTCTAAACAATAACTTCCACACTCTCCCCTCCTCCCATCCCATCAATCATCACCAGATCTTCAATAAAGGTAAGTGTCATGTATTCTATTCTTAGTAGAGTAGTAATCGTGCATGTCTTCTTCAGTTTGTGTGTATTAAAATAATATAAATTTTCATGTTGTTAATAAAAAATTAATTTTTTTCATACTTTTATCTGGGGAGTTCGGGGAACGGCATTTAATTTGATTTGCCATTACTTTCCATTATGTGGGAAAATAATTCGGCTAACGATAATTTCAGCTCATGATGAGCTCTCAGGAACAGATTAATATTGTAAGGCGGGGGTCCACTGTAATGTTGTCTTGAGCAACAAAAAAATTTTTTTTATAGATGCTAAACTGAGTATTTTAACCTTTATTTCCAAATAACATGTAGAAGGTCTTGTCGGTATTGAGAGTAAGTACATATATTATATAGTGACCATCTAGGTAGCAATCTTTATGAGCTTGTTGTTGACTGTATTATTGAGGACAATTGGATCAGAATTAGATATGATGAATGTTGTCATCTGCAAACTGGACTGGTTTAAGTTCCTGGGAAGCATTTGGTAGGTCATTTATGTAGATGAGAAATAATAGTGGGGCCAAGGATGCTACTCTGTGGCACCCCTGCCAAGGATGCTACCCTGTGGCACCCCTGCCAAAGATGCTACCCTGTGACACCCCTGCCAAGGATGCTACCCTGTGGCATCCTTGCCAAGGATGCTACCCTATGGCACCCCTGCCAAAGATGCTACCCTGTGGCACCCCTGCCAAGGATGCTACTCTGTGGCACCCCTGTGTTGATAATTTGGATAGATGAGATAGTGTTATTAATAGTTGCATAATGCTGTGTCTCTAAGGGACTTTATGAAAGTAAGAGCATAACCTCGGATTCCATTATGTTTTAGCTTCGACAGCAAGATATTGTGGTTTACAGTGTCAAAAGCTTTTCTTAGATCAATAAAGAGACCCATTGCATACTCATTATTTTTTAGAGCTGAATAGACAGAGTCTAGCATCTTTAAAATACAATCACTTAAGGACCTGGCAACAGTATTCAAGCTTATGTTAATGACTATCTCTACTGATGAGGCATTGTGCCAGCCATTGGCTTTTTCAGTCCAGTACAGGAAATGTTTACTGCAGACAGTGGATAGGTAATTGTCTGACACAGGAAATTTTGGTACAGAGGAAATTTACAACTGTATTCCTTATCTCTGGTCCAACTCTTGGGTTTGACCTTTTTTCACTAGTAGGTCCTACCCACCTGTGATGATGTCTTCAATTGCTGTGCCTTTCCTCCAATACCAGTATAGTTTAAAAGTTCCCATTCTCATACATCTGCTTTTGGTTTATCAAGGCTTGAACACCTATCAAGGCTAAGGGACTGAACACCTAAAAATTACTTCATTTCTTTTACTGTCCGCAGTATTTATTCTCCGTAATGGATTGAAGAGAGTCACAGGTTGGCAAAACACTCATCGTACCCATGTGTTGCACACGTCTTATTCATCAACTTGCTGATATAGTGTACCACTAATTTAAATAATGATTTAAACTTCTTTTAAGGATTTTTTCAATACAGTCATCCCTACAGATTTGTAAAGGGGTTATATTGCTAGAGGTGCCATAAAAGTAGAAACCAACAAAATTAAATGTGCATCACAATTTTTTTTCATTTATGAGTTCCTTTTCTGTTTTGGAGACTATATCCCTGTAGTGTATCACTCTGATCTGCTTAATAATGATATAAAATATAATGACCAGAATAAAAAGATATTTGGCAGTGGGAGAGTAATTTAGAAAAATGTGTGATGGCTGAATATATTCACTGGTTACCCTATAGTAAATATGTTGCATAATTGGAATCCACTATGACAGGAACCTGCAGATTAGCAGGGATGACTGTACAGTATATGTAGTTTTTTATTGTGTGCATGCTGTATGCAATTTTATTAAAGTATTTTATTTTAATGCAGGTTTATAAGAAGCTTTTAGACTTAATGCCGAAAGGAAAGATGATCCCCAGAAATGTATTTCAAGTGGAATTTATGCATTATCCTAAACATCAGCAGTGTGCTATTGATTGTCTTGACCAAATGGAGTTAAATGGTGAGGATAACCATGTTATTTTTGTGTTAAAGATAGACAGTAACAGTATGCCAGTTTTCTCTTTATTTTTAATTGTATATATATATATACTGAACATTTTTTTTACTACATGGGCCATCTTTCAAAAAGATAAGGTTGGCCCAAAGAAGGAAATGCATTCTCCATCATTCATTGACTGACTGTTTTGCTAAAAAAAAAAGCGTGCAGGCATCACAATTCAGATGACCCTCTTGTATGTAATTCATAAAGCAAGGAGCTTGAATGGTTGAAATTGAGATTTTAAAAAGTTCGGTGATACGGAAAGAAAGGAAACACAACAAAATTTTGTAATAAATAACAAGAATTGGAATATTATTAGAAAAATACAGTACTGTATCTTGGTTTGTAAAATTAATTTTAAGATTTCTGCATAGTATTTTCAGTGTAGCAATTTTCTAACTAGGTCTTCATTCTAATAATTATTTGCAGGGTTGTGGGTGTTGCAGCTTGGGGAAAGAGGCAGTCATTTGAACTATGATATCTGTAAACTTATGGCAGAGCAGCTACCGAATGAGTGATGGTAAATGTAATTCCTCCTTTGGGTCAGCCTACCTTGGCTGATGTGAAAAATAAAAAAAACAGCCTTATTTATATAAGAGCTTATACAGGTCAGCGAACACTAATCCGGCATCATTGGGGCCTGTAGTGTGCCGGATTAGGGAGTTTCCAGATTACAGAGTGGTTTGGTTAGAATACACATAACCCTTAAACTCTCCAAACATAGATCTACATTTACCTGCATAGTGCTCCAAATATTTTTTTTTTTTTTAAATAAAGAGGGCAATTTTCTGTGCTATAAACCCCCCCCCCCCCAAAAAAAAAAAAAAAAAATAGGACCAGTACTTACTGAGATATAAGACTGCAAAGTTGGCGCTGGATGCTCACCTGACAGCAACATCGAGTCCTGCCGCTTGCAGCAGTGTTGCCAGTATACCTTTTTTCTAGTTTTTATTTAATTTATATAATTTTTATGTTCTGAGAATTATAATTTATAAAAATTCTTGTGATTTCATAGCCAGTCTTTGTTCTGACACTAATACAGCCTCTCCTCACTCCTCGTTTACCGACGACTCAGACTTACGATGGACTCTCTGACCAGTACTCATACCTAAATAATGTATATTAGAGCTGATTTCCTCTATTCTGTTTATTACAATATACAGTACACTACTGTATAAACATTTAAAAATATACCAGAAATGCTATGAATGGTGCAAAGGTGACATTAAAACAAAATCTTAGGAACAAAACTCCGTCGTTAAGTGAGGAGAGGCTGTATTATTGTTGCGGTTGAAGTATTTAACATTAGGCCACTGATCTTTGATGGGGTATCAGTTGCTAGGTTGGCTATTGTCTAGGGTAGAACTCCAATAGCAACAAGGTTTTAGTATTGCAGATATAGCCTTCTTAACCAAAGACTTTGTTAATCTTCTTTCTTTCTTTCTGTAGGATGACCAAAACTCATGTAAAGTCCGTGTCTTTAATGTCAATAAAACTTATAGGATCTTCATATTCCTAGGAATCGTAATGTTAACAAAGAATAATAAAATTACTTACCTTTATCCTTAATGCATTAAGATACAATTATATATACAACACAAGAGTTTACAGGGAAGACATAATTCCCAGTAGTAGAGTTAGGCAATCAATATATGACGATGTAACTGACTTGCTAACATAACCCTTACCAATGTCTTCACAGAAACATTAAATTTAAATTATCCAGACAGGAGGATTTATCAATAATCCTGTGCAAGGGATATGTATATGAACAGAGAACTCTTAGAAATCAGAGATCAGACTAGGAGTGAGAGAGCTACTCAGAATGAGTGTTGTGAAGCTACTCTGATCATGTGTTGTGAACCTACTGCCTAACAGAGTGACTATATACCCCCACATGAGGTCGGTCAGAAGTAAGCCGACAGCTAAACTAGCGTCCGGTCATTTACCTGGTGCATCGAGACAATTGCGCCATTATTGGGAAACACAGTTTCCAATATTAACGTAACATATTATAATAATAAAAAGAGGAAGCACTAGCAGACAAACGTGTATATATATAATAAAATAAAGGAGCACATCCTAGTATAAAAAAATGTCGAGTATGGCCATACTCGTAACACCTCCCCCACACGACTGACGGTCGCATCTGGAAAAGTGATAAGGTTTCTACTTTTGTCTAAAATTATTTCAAACTAAAATATACTTTACTAAAGGTAAGTCACTCATGAACCGTGCTGCTCTGAATTTCACTGTCTGTCACTATAACATATGCTTCATATACACCTACCATCCGACTTACGACCGAGTTTAGTTCCGAGAAACCGGTCCTAAGTCGAAATGGACGTAAGTCGAACTTTACTACTGAATATGAACATAACATTTTTGTAATGACTTTATTTTATTGTTTTATTTTGGTATTTCATGTTTTACTTTACTTTTTATGCTGTTAGTACTGTATTTTATACTGTAAGGTTTAAGATAAACACTGTGTACAACACAAACACTTGTTTATTTCCCAGAAATTTGGCATAAAAAACACGGTTGTAAGTCGAGTCGTCGTATGTCGAGCAGGTCGTAAGTCGGATGGTAGGTGTACTTGGGCTGCACATCTGCGTATCTGCATACATGTAGATATAGCAACATGCAGACGATCATGACTTCATAGAGCTTCACAGTAGTGGATGAGACTGCATTTGATCAGCAGTCTTGAGTAACTGGAGGAGATAATGTTCCACTCCAACAGTGGTAGTGGAATACATGGCAGTAAGGACCTCCGTCACGGCAACTGCGTTTTGGAAAAGTTGAGTGACAGTGTGTTTGGGAGGGGTGGCTCAGGTCTGTGTTCTGCACCACTCATAACATCTCCTGTACAACACCTTACACTCAGCTTCTTTCTCCAACTATCTTCTTGATTTATCAACACACAACACTACTACTGTTGATATACAAAAAGTTATTAAACATGAGCAAAATATAGAGATAAATAAATTGGCTGTTAAATATAAAATTTGTAAATAAGTCTTAAGTAATCTTTATATAAAACAATCTCTAATTTTCTCATACTCAAACTTATTACTCTATGCATTTTTAAGACTATGTGTATTTAGAGTTCTTTATGGAAATATTTTTAGTTCAAAAATTATTTTCATACTAACAGTTCAGCTCTTCAGCTGCCAAAACACATCTCCATCTTTTCATCATAAATATGGAGTGAGTTCTGCACTTATTAAACTGTATTAGACAAAAATATTGCCTTAACAAATACAGTATTAAAATTTTAAGTGGTAAAACTTCGCATACCAAGTTGAACTAAACATTCATGCTATCTACCACAAGGGTGTCGTTCAGCTCAATGTAACAGGAATGGCAGAAGCCCTGAGCATTACCTGTCTCAGTGTTGCCAATGCCAAGTCCTTTACCAGTCTCGGACAGATATGTTGCCTAGTCAACAAAACAGCTGCACTTCCCTCTGGAACACTATGGTGAGTGGGTCCAGCAGCAGGAGCTCATGACACAGCTCCAAAACCTGAAGAGATGCCAAGAGAGGCGGCTGCGGCGATCTGAAGAATATGCAAAAATTGTCGATGATGAGGACAACTACTCTACTCCAGCGTCCAAAGATAACGAGCTGCAACGCTCAAGTATGGACATAGGAGAAATCATCAGAGGGGGTCTTGTTCAATGATACTCAGTGAGGTGTATCACTCGCAGGACGACTCATCTTGACGTAGCCTTCATCACCCTAATTGGTGCCACAAGAGTTCTTGACCAGCCAGTAGTCAGTGCCGTTCTCGGTAGTGCCATAACCACAGCCAGGACACCATGGTCCAGCTGCTTAGAGTTACATTCTGGTTCATCATAAACACCATGACTAAAACTGGAATGAACTATGTGAAGCATCAAGGGCAACAGAAACAGGTCCAACAGTAGCAACAGCTTTCTTCAAAGCCCTTTCACTTACCTCATGAATCAACAAAGTCAATGTCTTCAGCACTAGACTTGCGTGGGTTATACAGACATTTGTCATCCTCAGCTTCATGTGGGGATGCATCATTGGCATCAGTCCACTGTTGTCATCATTATTACCTTGCTAGGCAGAACAGTCAATCAGGTTCTGCTCAGAGAGACTCACCAGTTTACCAGTCTGGTGGAATTGTAGACCCCTGCTCAGGGACTAGCTTATTAAACAGGGGCTAGTGTGTCAGAAGTGTATGCTGGCTCTTGCTCAGGGACTAGCTTATAAGACAGAGGCTAGTGTGTCAGGAGTATGTGCTGACTCCTGCTCAGGGACTGGCTTGTGATACAGAGGCTAGTGTGTCAGGAAGCATATGTAGGCTTCTGCTCAGGGATTAGCTTATAAGACAGGCTAGTATGTCAGGAGTATAGGCTGACTCCTGCTCAGGGACTAGCTTATGATACAGAGGCTAGTATGTCAGAAGGTGTGCATGAAATATGTATTAATGCTGGGAGTGAAACCTTTCCCAGGCATCAAGAACAACGATGTCTTGGAAAATACAAAGAGTGTCTGGCTCTTCCTGAAGTGTCCGTCGCGTCTCTACTCTCATGTCCCTCTGCTGAATATGTATACCTTCAAAACAACCTCTTCCAGGTGATGAAGGAAGTTCTGAGTGAGATACCCAGAAGAAAAGATGCAGCAGCATGAGACAATGCGGCGAGAAAACTATCGTTTTCAAAGCATATCTTGGAGTTCCGACGAGCCACTCTTCTACGCCTCCTTGCAGCTGAGCCACAACACAAGTTGCTGAAGCAACAGCTCAGACAGTAACAGACAGAAAGACAATCGCTGGCTCACACATGAGGAAAACAATACAAGAAAGCACATGTCGCTTGCCATGAGTACCTCAGACAAGTCCGACTCAGACAGTGACTCCCTGGCGTAGACATCCTGTCAAGAGCACTGGTAATGTCTCTTCAAGTGACAGTAGTTTGACCATTCC